TATTTTATCGAAAAAACAGATTTTTTTTTAAAAAAAAAAATTACTAAGATTCTTTTTTTTAAAACTAAAAAGATAAAAAAATTGTTAGCTTCAAAAAAACTGAAGAAAAGTAAATTGTGAAAAATAATTTATAAAAATTTTTTTTCCTGAGCCAGCTAGCTCCCCTGAGATTGTAAAGACTAGTGACACCATTGCTTAATAGAAAAAAACTTTCAAAAAAATAACAGTATTAGATAAATTTAGATACAATATAAATATTTTTAAAAAGATCCGTATCGACCGGGCCCGAATTTTATAAAAAAATATTCGGCCCGACCAAACCCGAACCCGATTTTCTTTTAAAAAAATAGGCCCGGGCCGGGTTCGGGCCGGATACCGGATTTATATATATGTAAATATATATATAAAATGAACTACTCTTGAGGAATTTCAAGATTCATAATAATCTTTTAACTTATCAAAAATCTTATTTAAGGCTATGTTCAAAACTTTCACAAAATTTAACGAAATAATTGTGTTAATTTTTTTTATATTAAATTTATAAAATTTTCTAGAATTAAGTTTTGGACATGTTTTTGTTTTTATATCTAAAATAGCTTATTTATTTATTTTTCATCAAAGTTTAGAAAGTTTGCGAATTTAATCTTTCGATATTTTGGACACAGATTTTAAAAAAAAGAAAAGGAAAAAACGATTAACGCGTTATAAAGTTACGAATCAACGTGATCCTTTCCTTTCTTTTTTTGAGCCACGTGATACCTGTTGAGTTGACCAATTATATAGTAGGAGGGATAAATTTCGCCATTTTAGCTTTAGAAATTAGCCATATTGACGCCATTTTTTTTTTCTCATATGTCTCATTTTGTGCATGTTGATGATCACGTGATAAAAAAAATATCGGGCATTAAAAGACGCTAAGGGTTTATATTTTTATTTTTATCTTTCAAAATTGAAAAAATTGTCAAAAATTTGTAAAAAACTTTACGAAAGAAAAGAAGAAGAAAAAAGTTTGGAATAGAATGAAAAGAAAATAATGGAAAAAAAAAATATTTTTAAAAAATAAAAATAAATCCAGTACTATGCTTTTCATAGGTTCATGTCTTTTTTTTTAAACATATTTTTAACATTTTAAAATCATTAATATAGCGCTGTTATTTATTTTTGGAGATACTTATTTTCCCTTGGTTCGCATCTCCAGCATTCTAGAACATTCTATACCCTAGGAATTTCAGACAATTCTGCCATGTCGTGTTTGGAATACCTATCCGAATTTGTAAACAACAGAGTTGTTAAAGGATCTAGATAAAAGTATCTAGATCCTTTGTCTAGATATAAAAATGTGATATCTGTATCTGCATCTAGATAGATTTTTGATTAAAATATCTGTATCTAGATATTATTTTAGACGATGTATTTGTATCTAGATCCATTTAAAAAGTATCTTTTAACAACTCTGGTAAACAATCTTTCCGCTAACCTTTGAGTCAGTTTTAAAATTTATATATATAAAAAAATATGGCGGAAAATTCTTAATAATAAATTATTATATTAAGTTTAAAAGTTCGCGTAAAAATTGTTCCGAAATTTGTAGGGTAGGTGTGTATTCCAAACATGAAAGGCATGCATTTCCGTTTTTAAAAACCCGCCTTAAAACCTGATTTAAAAGTTGAAAAAAAAATAACGCCTTGCCGGAAAAATCACATTGGCGCTAACATATATATATTAAAAAAAAATTCATATCTAAAATATAAATGCAAATTAAGAGGGTGGCTTTGTAAGTTAGCGGAAATATCTGATATTTACCATGTAGATAACTAGGCTTAACGTACATTTACAGCGTACATCAAGTCTTTCAATGATTTAAGTTGTGTAGACTCTTGCTAAAAACTCAGATTTTTTTTTGCTAAGAATCCTATTACATCTTTACGCTAGACGTATAATTATTTGGGAGGTTTTTTTTATTTTCTAGAGTAATCCTAAGAAAGTAGCGCCATTACTTCTTCGAGTAACGTCTACGGTTTTTATTAAAATGAATCTTCAAAATTTAAAAAGGGGCAAAATTAAAATAATTTTTTATTTATATAAATTTAAATCTTAGAAAAGTTATGCTTCTTCAAATTTAAAAAGATTTTTTAATGATAAATAATTAAATAAAAATAAAATTATTGCGATATTTATCTTGAAAAAAAGAGGGATTAATTCCTACTTCTTCTCATAAGCACTAATCATTATTGATTTATCATTCATCCCTCTAATTGAATTCTTCTTATTTTTTATATCTCCATCTTCTTATTTTGATTTTTAGTTTTTTTTTTGGAGATGTTTTATATAAATGATTAAATTAGAAAGAAAAAAATGGGAAAAATAAAATCAAAATATTTTTTTAAAAAAAATGAATAATTGTATTAATAGAAAGAGAAAGAGAAAGAAAGAAAGAACAAAGGATTTTATATGATAAGAAAAATTTTAACGGGGAATTGTATAGACAGTTTTCGTCGTTAAATGTCTAATCATTTAATTTTTTTTTGTACGATCCTTACCAGGATTGAGCCTGAGACCTTCTGCTTCCAGGCATACATCATAAACCCACTAGGCCACCCCGGCGATATCTAGTTCATTTAATAATTTATATATAGGAAAAACTGATATAAATTATATCAAATTTTTAAAAATTCAAAGGTTCGCGGTAAAAAAATTGTTCAGAAATTCTTAGGGTAGGGTTGTATTCCAAACATGAGAGAATGTATTTCCGGTTAAAATCAGGAATTTTTACACATGTTATTTTTTTTTACTCTCTCAAAAATTTATTGGCGGAAAAAAAACACACATTGCGACTAACATTTGTACATCTATTGACAAAATTTCGAGGCTTAGTTAATAATTTGGCGAAATATCGATTTCGCTGATAAAGCCAATAGTATTTGTAAGGTTCTGATATAATTAATTTTTTTTGTATCATGATCCTTACAAAATAATGCTAATTTTTCTTTTTGGCTGAAATAAATAAATATCCTAAAAGTAGTTAGATAACGGCTAGTCTTCTCAGCCCATATAGGTCCGAATGAGAGTTGGTAAGGGCCAGGGGAGTTATTTGAATTAGTTTAAAAAGAAGAGAAGAGAAGAGAATAGAAGAGAAGAGAAGAGAAGAGAAGAGAATATTTTGAGCAGATACGATATATACTAATCATTACTATTTATATTAAGATAATTCGTGTGTCGCGCCTAAATAGCCGCATGATGAATTAAAGAATATCAAAAAAGGCAAATATTAATAATAAAAAAAATATTATTTTTTCCGGGAAATGTTTTATTTTTTATAGAAAAAGGGGATTAATTTTTGGTTGTATAAATTAATAAAATAAGAAATTTTATAAAAAATTTAAAATTTCTTATAATTTTTGCCGTTTAAATTTTGAAGAAATTTTTTTTTCTTTGAACGTGTTAATCTATCTCATTAGTAAAATTATATACACAAAATACATTTAAATTTTGAGTCTTTTTAAAAATTCTGAGAAATCTATATCTTCTCTTCTCTTCTCTTCTCTTCTCTTCTCTTCTCTTCTCTTCTCTTCTCTTCTCTTCTCTTCTCTTCTCTTCTCTTCTCTTCTCTTCTCTTCTCTTCTCTTCTCTTCTCTTCTCTTCTCTTCTCTTCTCTTCTCTTCTCTTCTCTTCTCTTCTCTTCTCTCTCTCTTCTCTTCTCTTCTCTTCTCTTCTCTTCTCTTCACATATATATAACATTTGTCACGAATATGTCACGAAAAAAATAATAAAGATAAAATATTTTGGGAGGAATTTTGAGCTGAACCTCGTGTGTTGTTTTAAATAGCTAGAATTGGTCCATTTTTTTTAAAAAAAAAAGGTGGCTTAATATTTTAGCCTATACCTAGAGATTTCGTTAATAGCTTGTCCAATGTACTATTTTTAGCAGTCGCCCTCCATAAACTATTTTAAAATCAAGGAATTCCTAACCCCCACGAGGTTCCATATCCCAATTACGTCATCTACATTATATTTAAATATTCAGCAATTATATATATATATATTATCATTTATAAATTCTAATTATTGTTAAATTGTGATATGAAAATGAATGAAAGAGGTTTCTTAACCTCCCGATTTTTTATTTTTAATAATTTTTGTTGGTTATCCACCACCTGGTTTATATTTTATTCGTGATGTAGCGACCCTAATTTTTCAAAAGGTTTTGCAGATAGAGCACTCTAATCTTCAGTGAGCAGTTTAAATGGGAGGAAGGTTATAGGGTTAGAAAAGATAGGAAATTATTATGTTTGCCGCTGATTATGATCCGACTCAAGGAAATTGCCTTTATACGACAGCTGATTTATCCAAATTTCTAATCGTCCATTTATTATCACGTGATCTGTCAGATTTGACAAGTTATCCATAAAAAATGGTTATATTATGATTTAAAAACCTATTTTTTTGCTATATCATAACCCTAATCCATCACATCAAACCCTTATTTATAACCTAATGACATATAATAATAATACCTAGACAGACGATGCATTCATTAAAAGTGTACGTCATCGAAAACAGCTGGGGACGTCATTTTGATTACCCGTATCATGATTAAAAATTTTAACCGAGAGGGCCAATTTATTCCTATGCCTGACGCAAACTTTATTAAAGAATTGCCTGGATCATCGAAATTAGGAAGCAAGTTATCAATTCAATAGTAGTTTTTAACGTGAGAATATTTGTCTATATGGGTTACCAAAAATGGCGGGTCCAGCTGATTTGCATTCAACGACGCTTTCGATATGTTTGAACTTTTTTAAAAAAATGTCATTATATTTATATACTCTCGAAAAATAAGAATAAATTTTATTTTTAGTTCCCCCCAAAAAAAATATATAAAGCAAGTTTCAAATTAAATATTAAATATTAATTTTTTATTTAATAAAAAATAATAATAATAAAAAAATAGATATTATTAAATAAACGAAATAAAAAATAAAAAAAATAGAAATATATTATATAAATATAAGAAAAATTTTTTTTAATATACAATATATATTTTGAAAAAAAAAATCCAAAAATTTCTAGTCTGAACATATTTCTCTTCATCAAGAATTCTTAAGATCCTCTTCAGGTATGTGGAGAATTTATTTTTAAAATATTTTTTGGCTAATTTTGAGCCGTTTAAAACGGCTAACACAATATTTTGGCCAGAAAAGTACTGCCTAAACCTCGAGATTTCGTTAATGTATACCTAAGGTTTGTTCCTTTCTACGAGCAAAATCTTCAGGCTCGCCTAAGGATCTTTCTGGATGAAATATCGAGTTAGCCGTGTTTAACAACACTAGAAATTTTCCCGATCCCCATTTCAAAACGTTCAAAATCTAATAATTGTTGTGTTATATTTTTTATTTTTTTTTGGAATTGAAATGAATGGGATAATAGGAATAGGATCGAATTCATTGAACATAAGAGCTTGGAGAAACTCCAACATTTTCAAAAAAAATAAATAATAAGGATTGAGATGCGCATTTTCGCCTCAAAAAAATGGGTTTATAACTTTAAAAATCGTTCGTTAAAAATTGTAGGAAACTTTGTAAATATATAGTATATTAAGCATGAAATTAGATGGACCACTAAGACCCCTGGAATTAAAATTAGCATGGTTCTTCTTGTTAGTAAACAAAAGATCTCATGTATAAAATGAAAAGGTCAGAGTTCTGGTTTTAATATAATTTATATTTATTTTTTTTGTTAGTTCTCGATTTCAAGTTCAAATAATAATTGTTAAAAATTCTTTATTAGTTATAAATTTGGGAAATGTTCCTTGGAAACTTAGGGATTGTGTCCGGCCGGAATCCAGAGATCAGATTCCGAGGAAATATGAAATATCGTTAGGAATAACTTCTTAATACATTAAATAACAACATTTCGATTTTTCCTCCAAGATATTTATATTATATATATATATATGATTGATTTTATTAGATCCTCCATTTATATAGTAAGATTATAATAGAATACTTCCCTGAATTTTATGTTAGGTCGAAAAAAAAACTGAATATTTAGAGTTGAGCTTCTTAAAATTTCGTTTGTCTTCTATAGAATAGTGTTGTTAAAGGGCTAACTCAATATTTTATCCAAAAAAATATTACGCAGGCCCCTGAAGATTTTGTTCCTAGATGGTACAAAAGTCTAGAACAACTATTAGCGAAATCTGGAGACTCACGCAATTTTTTTCCGCCTTAAATATAGAGCCAGCCGTTTTTTTCAACAGCGGCTCAAAACGAGCCCTTTAACAACTCTACTATATAGAATAAAGGTTTCAAACTTATTTATATCTAATTAATATCGGATTCGAATAACTCATTTTAGTGGTGGGGGGGGGAAGGGGGGGGTTATTTTTTTTAAAAATTGTCTCTTTATTGTTCCCATCGGGACATTTCAAACGAAATTTCCATTAAAAATTTTCAAGAAATTTTTTTTTTAACATTCCTGTCATAAACTAATTATCATATTAACTTGTTGGGCAGATAATGAGTTAATTTATTTTGTTAATTCTTAATATAATTCCGAAGGATATAACAGGAATTTAGTGGTTGTTAGAAGGCCCACGATATAGGGTCAAATTTAAAAAAAAGGGGGCCGGATTAAAATTTTAGCCTAAATCATATTCCGTAAACCTGAAGATTTTGCTTATTGATTTATTTGTCTAATCTCGCGGTCTACCTATATAATTTTAAACTAAAATCTCGCATAATTGGGCTTTTTAACAATACTTAAAAAAGTTGATATAATAAAAAGTGGTAGGTTATATTATATATAAATTAATTTTTTTTTAAAAAATACAGGAAATTTAAGAGCCAATTCTCTTCTCTTCTCTTCTCTTCTCTTCTCTTTCTCTTCTCTTTCTCTTCTCTTCTCTTCTCTTCTCTTCTCTTTCTCTTTCTCTTCTCTTCTCTTCTCTTCTCTTCTCTTCTCTTCTCTTCTCCTCCTCTCTTCTCCTCTCTATTTAATTTCTCTAAAAAAAAAAATATAATTTTTATGAATTTTTTTTTTGCAAAAAATACATTATTAATATAATAATAATAATTTTATTTTATATAAATATTAAAGATAATTATTAAAGTTAAAGGAAATAAAAAATGACGGGAAAATTGATTTCTATAACATCCTCTTGGCCCGCATGTCCCCGTAAATTTTATTCCAACAAGATCCGTTCTAATTACAACATTTGGTTGGTAATCTTGGGCGCGTTGGTAGTATCCCAATATTTTGGAGGGGCGTTTCCGCTCATGACGGGCGTTTTAGCTAACGACATATTGATCAAGAAGCAGGAAGACCTTTCAAGCTTCCTACGAAACTACGGGAGAATGATTGACGCCATGTCAAGACCTAGGTAATAAATTGTTTCATCTAACAAACATGTGAATCACGATAATTTCTAAAATCTTCTTCATTTGTTTAAGCGTTTAACTTTTAGCATTCAATTATTTTTCAGTTCTGCCAATTGAAAAAAAAGTTACGATTGCTATATCAATATAATATACTTCCCCCCTTGTCTCACTATCATTTAAAATAAATCATATGGTGACACGCCATCTTGGGTTTATAAATCATATGGTGACACGTCATCTTGGGTTTCCACCCCTTTATATAGTAATTTTATTAAAAAATTTTTTTTAATCTCATTGGATTACCAGATAATCTAATATAGGGTAGCCATAACTCGCGGATGTTAATTTAAGATGACAACCGAATATAGTTTTATATTAAACCATTGTTGTTGTTTTAAAAATATAGAATTAATTTTTTCATTATGATTCTTCTTGGGCTGGGTTAGTTTAGACGCCATTTAAATCGTTAAAAAAAATTAAGCTAATTTGTTAATCGTAAGGAATAAATAAAAAAACGCTGTGTTTGGAAGCGCGCAACTATTAAGCTGAATTATTAATCGCTTCGAAAAAACGCGCCGTGCTTAGAAGCGGTCTTAGCAAGTCACGTGGGTAAGTAGTGTTGTAAAAACGGTTCGTTTTGAGCCGATTCTTAAAACCGGAGTTCAATATTTTAGCCAGGATAAATATTGCCCTAAGTCTCGATATTTTCTTCGACAGATGTCCGAACCTTTGCGTCCATCTATGAACAAAAATCTTAAAGGCTCGTGTAATCTTTTTTTTCTGGATGAAATATCGAGTTAGCCGTTGTTTAAAAATTGGCTCAAAACGACCCCGTTTAACAACACTAAGGGGTAAGGTGTTAAGAAATACATGCTTAAAAATGGTTCAAGGAGTAAGGTTGTGTTAGCAACGTAAACTTAATTATAGGTGGTGTGATAAATAGCTAACGACACATATATAATAAATAATATATATATATAATATTTTACATAATTTATATTACGTTAGCGTTCAATGTGTTTTTCCCCGCCAATTTTTGAGCGCGTTTTTTTTACTGATTTTACCGGAAATATATTCTATCATGTTTGGAATGTACCTATCTTACGAATATTTGGAAAATATTGCTGTTAACCCCAACCTTTGAGTGACATATAATTTATATATATAAATGACATGTAGCCTGGAGATTTCCTCACAGATGACAGAAAGGAATTTCGAGGTTTAATGTTATTTTAGCTAAAATGTCACTTTTAAAAAAATTTGAGCAAAATCGTTGTCTTTTTAACAACGCTAAATATTAGCGTTATGTTATATTGTTGTGAGGGGGTAAAGTGCACCCAGGGAAATCTGACCAAAATATCCGTGGTTTTTTAGAGAAAAGGAAAATACAGATCGTTACCTTGATTTAGTTACGTTATTCTAAAATTGATAGGGAATCTTATAGACTTTGAGACCTTCAATAAGTTGTGGATTAATATATCGGTTTATAAATTCCAATTATTGTTAGAATATAAGCCTCTTTTTTTCTCGTCCAATTCATATACATATATATTTTTTTAAAATAAGTATTAACCGAAATCTAAAATCTAATTACAACATAATAAAATAAAAATATAATTAAAATAGACACCAATATATGCTATATTAACGTTCATTCTTATAAATATTTCATTTTTATTCCCATCATACACATATATATATATATAATATAATTTAATCATATTTTTCTTATCTTTTCATATCATTCAAAATTTCAAGAAAATTCTGATAATCCTTGTAATTGGGTACATATATTCCTACTAAATTTTTATCGGATAATATAATATTTATATATCTATTTTTTTTAATAATCTTAATCGTAAAATTTTATTTTCCTATTTTTTTTTGGTTCCAAATTTCATTTTCATAATTATTTTAGGAGATTTAAGAGAAAAAATAAGAAATATTTTAACTTATTATTAACTCCCTTTTTTTTGCGTTTACAGCCCCCATCACATTTCCGTTTCATTTGGCATGAGATTTATTAAAAAAATATAAAATATAATAAAATAAAAATGTTATAATTTGATGCGTATTTAAATAAAATATTATTATTAATTATTATTTATTGTCGTTGTTATATAAATTATAAAATTATAAAAAATACAAATAGCTGCAGAATAATAATATCAGAAACCTTCGTGGGACTTAATTTTTTGACCAAGCTCGGCTCAGGCCCGAAAAACCCCCAGATTCGCTAAATCTCAACATTTTATGGTAGAATTTTCCAGAAATTTTTTGACACCCCATCCATCCCCATGACGTATTCTTTAGAATGCCTATCATAATTAATATTCGTCTTAGTAAATTAATTTTAACAGTTTTATATTTAATATTAATCATAGCTATCATCCATAGTGTAGTTGTTATTTAAAAAACGGCTAATTCAATTATTTAGAAAAATATTACGCGATCCTTAAGATTTTTCTCATAGATATGGAACAAAAGTTTGAACATCTATTTAGCAAAAAATCTCCTTAGACAATATCTTAACTGGCTAAAATATTTTGAGTTAGCTATTTTTAAAGATAGGGTCAAATCCAACCTTTCAACAATACACTAAGCTTATATTTTTAAATGACTTTATCATCCCATGGTTAATTTTAAGAGTATAACAAAAAAAATGTGTTTTTTCTAAATCTGATGTTCTTTATTGTTTACGTTCAACAGAATCCAAACCCAAAAAAAAACAAATTGTTAGTCTAAATAAGGATATCCAGTTTAATCATATAGGTTCTAATATCAGAAGAAGCATAGTAGAACAAATTCGATTTTAAGTTGGAATCTTATTTTTTTTCTCATCATCTGGTCCTTCTAAAATAACATTCTTTATATTCCCTCTCTACGCTCCAAAAGAACTGTTGAAAATAATACATGTTTCAGAAAGCTTCTAAGGAACATTATCTTATCCTCTTTCCCCATTAAAACAATTTCTCTCCTATTTCTACATACACTATCACTGCATCAAATTTCACTTATATCGATCGTCCTTTTAAAATTATCGATTATATTACGTATTTCATTAACACTTTCCGGTTGAGTTTTGCATATATTTATTAAATAAATAAATATTTCTTCTTTAGACCTTTTTAAGTTCTATGGAAATTTCTCCTTATTTTTTGTCTATGTGATTTGAGCTATCTTGTCTAATGGGAAAAATCTTTCTAATGTTTACTATCTATATTGCTTCCATTTAGTGTTTGTTAAATGGCTTCATTTGAGCCGAATTTTTTAAATGCGGCGAATTGTCCTAAGTTTTTGAGATTTGGCTACTGGGCTTTCCAAACCTTTTTTCCATCTACGAGAGCAAAATCTTCAGGTTTATGTTATATTCTCAGGAAAAATATTGAGTTAGCGGGTTTTTGGGTTCAAAACTGAGGCCGTTTAACGACACTACTTTTTATAGACTAAACTATATTTTATAGATATAATAATATTAATAATAATGATTAGTGTAAAAGTAACGCGTCAAAAAAGTAAGTTCGTTATGCGTTACATTTTTTGAGAAAAGGAACTCCAATAGTTACCTTCTTCTAAGGGGTACCGAGTAATACGATTCCATTTTTTTTGAGTACCGGTAACGCAAAACGTTACCTTAAATTTTCTTTTAATTGTACTATAAAATCTATCTTTTCGCGTTTTTGATAAAGTATTGCTTTAAATATTTAGGAGATTAAATTGTATAGAATAGGATTATTCGTGCCATAACCCCCACCCCCCTCAACTTCTCCAGCCAATGATGATAAAACTATCTCTTACCCCTCTCTTATTTCTTCTCATTTCCGTATTACCTTAATTATAAAAATTAAAATAAGGAAGTCACAAAAACCGGCAACAAGAGGAAATCAAAATTGGGCCAAACCTACCCCCCCCCCCACCTCTTTATATTCTATAAACTCACTCTTATTTTGTTGTAAATGAATATATCCGCTTCCATACTCCTTACCCATTTTATTTTAATGACGACTTTGCGCCATGTCATTCTGTTTCCGCATTGTAGGAGTATTTAAAACGAAAATCCCGTTTATAACCGGGTTCGCGGTTCTGGTTCGGATCTTATTTTTCCGTCTTTTACAAGTGTATACATTCTCTTTAAATACGAGTAGTGTTGTTAAACGGCTAGTTTTGAGCCGATTTTAAAAAAGGGCTAACTAAATATTTTAGCCAGAAAAATATTGCCTGAGCCCCGAGATATCGCTAAATAGATGTCCAAACCTTTGTTCCTTCCACAAACAAAATCTTCAGGCCTGAGTAAGATTATTCTAGATGAAAGCCGTTTAACAACACTAAATACGAGAATTATTTATAAAAAATAAAAACAGTTACTTTATTAATCTCATATTACTTACTACATTAAACACCTAACATCAAAAATTTTTATAATTTATATTTTATTTTGGAACTTGTCTATATCATAAAATAAATTACCAAAATTTGTATATGATGTTGTATCTGTATATATGTATATGATGGTGTATCTTTTCTTATTCATTTTTTTTTTTTAAATTTAAAGAAAAAAGTAATAAAAGTGTTAAATTAATATTTAATAATATATATTTTCTTATCATTTTATATACTTTTGTGTTTGTGGTTATAAAAAATATTTGTAAACCATCTGAAAAAATATATTTAAGAAGAAAAACTAAAACAAAAAAGCAATTTATCAAAAAATTAATCCATTTCTTGAAGATTTCTTTTGAATTAGAACTTTCAGCCTTTTAGGAAACCAAAAGATATTTGATATTTTTTAAAAAATAATATAGTATATTTGTAATTATTATTAATGAATTAAAGAATTTTTTCCAAATTTCTTATTAATATTTTTGTGCTTTTTATAAAAGTATTTAAAAAATATATTTTTTTAATCAATTTTAAACAAAGATGAAATATATAAATATTTTATTTTTGAAAAGAAAATGAAATGAAATATTAGGTGTTTGTTATTATGAGTTTTTTTTTATATATAAATCAAATATATATTTCTTATCTTTCGATATAAGACAAATAAAAAATTGTTTTTAAAAATAACTTTATCTTTTGACACAAATTTGGCAAAGTTTTAATTTTAAATTCTTAGTAAAAATTGAAATGACAAAGGGGAAAGGAATTTCTGACAACACTGACAACGAAACATTATAATTATATAGAGTGAAAATTTTTATTTACAAAAAACCGGGCCATGCCGGGCCGAAAAAAATTTTGAAGAAAAAATCCGATCCGGGCCGTACATATTGTACCTCTGCAGGTCTCAATATATTAGCATAAAGCGAATATCGAATATCCAATATTTTGTATTTAAAAAAATATATATATTTTTATATTTTCTTTTTCTTAATATTATTCAGGTTTGGAAGAAGTCAAAGATACGATTCTTTCAATCCCGGCCCTTACTCTGAACAGATTGCAAATAATAACCCCAAGATGATGGTTTTATATTTTTTTTAAAAAATAAATACTCATTTTGAGGAGAGGGGGGGGGTTAAGGTCATCTCGAATAATCCCAAAAATAAAAATCTGGTATAATAAAAGAGATTCCAATTGAAATAGATATTTTGGTATCGAACCAATTAGAAATTGGGTGGAAAATTTGGCAGGCAGCACGCCAGGCTTGGCATTATAGATCTCAAAGAAAGAAAGAAAGAAAGAAAGAAAGAAAGAAAGAAAGAAAGAATAGCAACCTAAAAATAATTATATATAAATATATTATTTATTTTGAATATTCAAAAAATTTTTAAATGTTTTCGGCCCGAGTCCAGAAGAGGTCATTATATCATATTTGTATGATTTAAGAAATTTCGAAGAATAAGTGTGATTATATTTAAATTTAGGAATGAAAATTATTCTAGCTAAAAAAAAAATAATAAAAATGTGGGTGGTGTGAAGTTAGGTTTCGTGATTTGTCCGTTGAACGGGAAGATAGGAATGAGGAAAAGGGATAGGGTATGAAGTATTAAGTCGACCATTTTTCCGAGAGTTCCTAAGCTTTCACTTTTTTTCTGGTGGTAAGCTCTTTCGATATTCTCTCCACTTTATTATTCATGCTATCTATCTCTTTTTATCACTGATATTCCCCACCGGAGTTCCTTATCTATTCCATTTGGATCTTCCATCGGAGTATCGCTATCGACACCATTGTATCTTGATCTCACACCAAAGTATCAATATCGACAGATATCCCACCGGAGTATTTTTTATCGGTTCCATCTATCATCCTTGAATGCCTACGAGGTCATTCATCATTATCCAAGCCTGTCGGTGACCGGGGTGACATTTCCCAGCTCAGAAATTTATCCTAGCATATGTCCTTACACATCCGTCATCAAAGAAAAACCTGAAACTTTTTACTTTCCTTCGAGAGTAATTGGGCTAAATTTCTAGTTAAATGTGGTTAAATTTAGATATAAAATCCCCCCCCCCCCCAAGAATGATTCCTAAAATCTTTAATTTTTTTTTAAAATAAATTTCCCTTCAGATGAACATGCATTGAGTTGAGCCATTGAAATGAATAATATAACTAAATTGTGCAAATATTTAAATTCTAGAAAAAAAAAATATGAAGATAATAGTTGAAAATTAACAGACAATTTCATCGAAACACAAAATTATTTTTGTGATACATTTTATATGGTACAGTGTAATACGGTGATCTGCATCAGGCCTTATTTTTCGAGCCCGGCTACCCGGTCCGAAATTTTTATTTAAAAAAATTAACCGATCCGGCCCGGTCCAAAAGACATTTAAATATAGATATTAATTTTTATAATTATTCAAAATAAAAGGTATATGTTTATGTGGCGTCTAATTTTCTATAAATAAAATCAAATATTTTTATTATACAATATATTTTTTAAAAAAAATTCTAAGGCCCGACCCGGCCCGCTACCCGATTCGACCCGAGTTTTTTTAAAAAAAATATTATGCCCGGCCCATTCTGGCCCGAAGATCTCTATAATACCTGCCGCTAATTATAAAAATGCTATATTGTGTTTAAAATCTTATATAAATATAACATAAAATAAATTATAACATGTTTAAATATATTGCTCTTATTGAGATTGCCCAGTCTTAGTTTAAAAAAAAAATAAGAAAAACCTAAATTTCTGAAAAATGACAGATTTAGATCAGTCATCTTTTCTTGACAGGGGACTTAATCAATATAGAAAAATGTATATATATATATATTAAATAAAATGAATAAACTTAAAGAAGATTGTATTTTCTGAAATTAGAGCGTGCTAATTGGAAGAGTGCAGGGCCGGTTCTAGCATTTTAAATTTAGTTAGTAGTAGGGCAAGAATCATTTAATCTTACCTCCTTGACATGATAAAACTTATTCTGCTTGTTATATTGTTACACATTTTCAAACCGGGCTGGAACCACGGTATAGAGCCCATCCAAAACCCGGTGTCGGGTTTGATGATAAAAAATAAATCTTTTAAAATTTCTCAATCCCCTGACCTCTGCAGTTTTCTTGTTTCTTCAAATCTGAGATCCGAACCGTAATCCATAAAGTTCCTGTTTGGGAACAAATAATTATAAAAGTTTATGGTTTTTGTTTTACAGTGAATATACCGCCTTTTGCCCCCCCCCCCTCCTAAATATCTCCACTTAATTTACAATTCAAAATGATTATAAACCTTCTTTCTTTCTTTCTTTCTTTCTATATATATATATACTATATTATATGTATTTTTTTAAAAAGAAGCTATTAAAGTTGCTTAATCGAGATCGTAATTACGAAAACTATTGATTTTTAAAAGATTCAAAAAAAAGGAAAAAAAGAATGATTATTTCTATTGAAAATGTCGCCAAAAAATATTTTATATTATAAAATCATTTAAATCATTATCAATAAATAATAATATTTTTATATTTAATTATATTATATTATATTTTATTATATTATATTTTTATATTTTATATAAAAGATTGTTTTAAAAAAGAATATAAATCTTTTAATATAAATTTGGCATAATAAACAAATAATGTAATTTAATGTCTAAACCAACGTTGATGTCTCTTCTTTTAATATAAATATTTTTTTTGTGATTTGTATGTTTTTATATGGCTTTTTATTTTAATAATATTTACGCAAATAATGTTAGTTTAAATATCACTAAACTTATTAAACCATTGTTATTCATAGAATCAATACCATAAATCAACTAATATCCTTTTTCTTTGTAAATGTCGCAGTGTCTTTTTACCATAATAATTTTTAATAATGGCACATTTATCATTATACAATAATTCAATGTTATAGCTGAGGTTTATAGATTATGAAAATAAGTAAGGTTTGTTAAGGAGGATATGGGACAGAATGGTAATGGATTAGATATAAATAAATTACTAGATTAACTAAACAAGTCATGTTTAATATTAATAATTTTTATATGTAAAGTATATTTATAAATTTTATAATTATAACAGAAAAATATTTTTTAATGAATGTATAAATGTGTGTGTGTGCTTAGTTTAGTGGAAATGACATAATATTTGTACATAATTATTATTGCTTAAAATAATTGAATTCACAAAGGCAAAATAATTAGAAAAATAATACTATTTTAACAATTATTTATGGTTTTTTTTTGTTTAAATTTTCCTTTTTGGTTTTGCATTAGCACCTGAAAGAAAAATAAGAAATTTTTATCGCACCAAATTAGTTTTTCCAAAGAAAATACAAAACCCATTATGAAAGTTGAATAATTCTTAAGACCGATAAACTATAACAATATTATTAGGATTGACTATTAAAAATTCAAAAGCGACTTTTTCTTGTGTTCGTGAATGAGATATTCCCATTAAGATATATCCCATATAAGCATTTTGATGCACTTTTCAACAATAGGTCTATATTTTAATTATCCGAATTGGAGGGTCCAATTTTTTGAGACTTGTCACAATGAATAAGAAACCAAACAAGTAAGTGTTTTATTGAATTATTATATTGTTTTTTTTGGGTAGTAGTACTTCTAACACCGAATAACCTAATAATAATTTTCATTATACAAACTTTGTAGTTTATCGGAAGTTTGGCTAAATCCGATATCCTACCAGTGTCAAACAAATTACGGTTATTATTTTCTTTCTTTCTTTCTTTCTTATTATACAATTATTATATAATCAAGATAAAACTGCTAGAATTGAGGGAATGGTGACTTGCTCGTAAAAAAAAGAGATTACCCATGAACGAGAAGATGATAAGCAGTCAAAAAAGTGATTAAATAAAAAGGTACTTTTTTTTTAAAAACAAATTAATTTTTTTAATAATTTTTATTGACTATTATCTTTTAAATCAAAAAATTATATACAATTTTATATAATTAACTAATATGAATATATACAACAAAAAAAATATAAAATCTATTCTTCTTTGTTAAAACGAATCATGAGGAGGAAAGGATAACTTTAAATGTAAATAAAAAGACTTAATATAAAAAAAAAATTTTTTAAACTTATATTCAAAAAAGTTAGAGTTGACATTTCGTGTCTAATCCTGTATTGTATAGGATTGGATGCTGATTATTGGGATGAAAGACCATTTTTGAGGCATATTTAGGGTGTAGAAACGAGAAAATATTTTTAATAATTATATAAGTATTACTCACAAATATTCAAAAATAAATATAATGGATAATAAATGATGTTCCAAATATGTAATGCCATCTAGAAAATAAATATTCAATTAATAAAAATGAATAGCTATATTTTATGCAATGACATTAAAAGTGTACAACAATGAAAAACAGCTGGGGGTCACCATTTTTTTCTATGCATATCATTATTAAAAAATTTTAAACGAGATGCCAATTATATTTCAATGTCTGACGGCAAACTTTATTAAAGAATTGCCCGATCATCGAGGTAATAAGGAAGCAAGTTATCAATTTAGTAGTAGTTTTTTTAACATGGGAATAATTACTATATGGACTACCAAAATGGCGGGTCCCGTTGATTGTGAATGCATCGTTAGGTATTATTATATGTCAACGATTCCATGATCGAAAAATAAATACACTACGTTAAAATGTAATATATAATAATAATTCTTGAATGTTCCCTTTTAAAATATAATTTTATATGCTAAAAGATTATAGTTCTTAAATGTATGTTCTTAGAGTGTTGCACAATTTGTGAAAGATAAGTTATTTCTTTTATAATAATGTTTAAAAATAACCTGCACAGACCTGTTTTAGTTCGCCAGTCCAAAGTCTTTAAATGTTCCCGTTCTAAATCGCTAAAATGAAAATCGCTAAAAAGGATGGGAATCTCGCGTATATCTCCTAAAAAACTTTTTAAAATAAATTTGAAAAATTAATATTAAGATGGTAAGGGAGTAAAAAACACTTGTATTTAAATTACGTTTTTTTTTTTGGAAAATATCTAAAAAATGAGAGAAATATCATTCAATATTCCCAAAATATTGTTCCCAATTCTGGGATCAAAAATGATATTTTCTTCATTTTTAGCAATTGTTTTTGTTAAAATAAAACTTAATTTAAAAGTGTTTAATTTCCTGGTATCCATTAATATTATTTTCAATATTACTTTTAAAATTTTCTAGGAGACATGAGCGAGATTCCCAATTTTCTAGCAATTTTTATTTTAACGATTTAGCACCTATTCCTACTTTTAATATACAAATATAAAAAAGTATTTTGCATTTTTACTACGATTTTACGATTTTCAGAATGAATACAAATATAAATCTACATTTATTTTATTTGAATATTAAATTTGTGACTCGAGTTAGCGAAAAAATTAATATTTTATCTATTAAACCCTAATTTTATTTTTAAAATGAGCATACACGAAAGTGAAACCGATACAAATTTTTTCGAAGATAAGAAAGATTTAATAATTGAAGAAAAAGAGTTTTTATATTGAGCTATCATGGTTATAAATTATTTGATTAGGCGACAACGTCACCATTCTCTAAATATAAATTTGACACTTTTGGATGGAATTTATTATTACTAAATATCATCAAAAATCAGTAATATAAGTGCAAAATTTATAAATAAAACAGAAATAATGAATCGAAAGATCTCAACCAGTAGCGTCACTAATGGGAGAGGGGTGCATAGGGACTTAAGTCCTCTGGGAAATTTGAAGGCCTCGAGAATCTTGGAAATTTTCAAGATATACCTATAAAAAAGGGTTATTTTGAAAATGAACTTTCAAAAATAGGAAAATATTCAGATATATTTTTAAGAAAAATAAATTGAGATTGTAAAGGGTAGTGATAGTGACGCCATTTTGTCTAACAGCTATTGATAATGAAGATGAATAAGCGGCTTGGTATATGTATGTAATAATGAATATAAGATGGCCTATTTGATAACTATCTTAAACTGCCAAATTAAAAACGCCATCCTATATAAAGGATTTTTTTTAAATAAAATAATTACTATTGAAAATCTTCTAACCGCTTTTTTTTAAATCCTAAATACTAAAATAAATATTTTTGATGATTTTTCTTATAGGAATAATATTTTTATTAAATTTAATACTGCATTGCCCTCAAGGGCTGGTGTTGAACGATTATTTAGTCATAGCTTTTGCTTTATGATCATCGGTCTAGACTTGGGAATGAATGATAGTGTAAAGATATTATTATTGAAATGCAAAAAAAAGTTTATGTATTTGATTAGTCATTTTATTTATTTGTGGAAATGGATATAAGTAAAAAATATTTTAAAAAAATTTAAAGTAGCGTTAAAGGTAGCTAATAGCCCGCTACTTTATTAAAATAAATAGCGGTAACGATAGTGCGCTACTGTTAAAGTTATTTATTGACAATACTGACTGATATATATATATCAGGTTATATATAAATAACTTAAATCTCAATATATAGTAGGAGATATTAGGAAAAAGTGTATAAAATATTACAATCAAATTTAATTTGGGGTAGCCCAACCATTAATTCATTAAATTACTAAATTTTACTTGTTTTTAGCCAGATAATGAGCTCTGATTTGTTCTATATTGTGATACAATAATGATTAATATATTATATTAAAATATATAGTGCATTTCATTTATTGGTAAATCGAACTTACCCCAATACCTAAACCCGCAACTTAAACAAATAATTAATATAGTCAAAAATAATATAATTACCTTTTATTGAAACCCATATCAATTTTTTGTTAATAAAAAATATTTCTGACCCACCCTCCCCCACCAGCTTAATTAAAGGATAATAATTATTACAGACAAAATATATTTTACAAACCTTTTATTTGATACCAATATCAAATTTTTATATTTTACCCCCTCACTCTATACTTCAACCAAGTCCCACCCATTAAGAGCACGATGAATACTAATATTTTAGTTGAAAGATATTTAAATAGCTTTTATTTGATATCCATATCGATACTTTGTTCTGAATTATAAATATTCCTGACCTCCCAAGACCTAAACCCGCCCAATTAAAGTCATGATTATTATTAGAATCAAAAGATATATTATTTCCATTTTATTTAATACCTATATAAAAAATTATTTTACTGCCCCCCCCCCTCACCCAACCCCCTTAGATCAAAATTAAGAGTAAAAATTTTATTTAGCTTTTATCAGATGCCCATATCTATATCATGTTGATAAAAATATTTATGAGAAACCCCCCCCCCTCCACCTCTCGTTCAAAGGACTACTTTTGTCCTTTAATAGGGAGATGATGACATTTATTTAATTGATATATCTTTTAATTAACTATCTATTTATTCCTTTTAGACATTTTTTTTTTATAAAGCTAAGAAAAGATAACTTAAAATATAATTAAATTAAATTAAAATGAATAAAACCAAACTAGTCTAAAACTCGTTTTAAAATATAATTATTCCAAACTAGTCATGGTTTAGTGCTAACTTTATTTTTTTCAAATCCATATACTATTAGTTTCCATCATGCAGTCACAGAATATGTTTAAAGTTTTTGTTGCACATGTTCCTTGGACTATTAGCAAAAGTATTTAACAGCCATTTTTATACCTTTAAAAAAATATATATATCTAGAAGAACTGAAAGAGTATTTTTCAAAATTTGGTGATATTGTTTATAGCCAAGTCTTATTTGTAATTAATATAATTTATCTTTAATATAATGTAATCCTTAGAACAAAACTACTGGGAAGAGTAAAAATTTTGGCTTTATAAGGTTTGCCGATTCAAATGGTTATAATAATGCCATAAGTTCAGAGCATATTTTGGAAAATCAAAAGGTTTTTATTTTTTTAAAAAATATTTAATAAACATTTAAATATATAGCTAAATGTATATCCAGCTCATCATGATGCATCAAATACAATATCAAGATTAAATCAATCTCCCATACGTGCAAAGCAATTTTTTGATATTGATATAAAAAATATCATGAAATAAAATGCCTCTTAGAAAATATTGTTGAGATTATCACTTAATCATGATAAATTTGATATATATTTTTTTAAAATTATCAATTATATTAAAAGCTACTGGAGTAGGATATTGGTTTCAGCATAACTTAGAAGAAGGTGGTGGGGGTATTTTTGTAATTTTAGAGATTAATATATAAACAATTTAAAAATAATTTTGTAAACCAAGTTTTAATCAAATTATCCAAAAAATGAATTTATAGAAATGAATTGCAAAAAAAAACAAAACAATGGTAATAATATCAAAACTATTTTGGTAAGATAATATATTAGTAATTTTTCTATAATTTTCAAATATTCCAATATAATGTTTTGAAATTTATGCATTTTATATGTAAATAAAATAAATTATAATAATATTTTACTAGAGAAAAATTTTACAATATTAAATGAGATTATAGTTAATTATTTAAATTACAATAATGATAATTATTGGATATTCCTTTCCAAAATTTTAACACAATTTTATTTTTATTTTTACTTAATATTTGAATTTTCTTTTAACTTAAATAAAAATTTTATAACTTTATAATAAATTAAGTTCATTTTTCTTAAGTTTAAAAATGAATATTATTTTTGATTAAATACTTCATTTTTATAGTTTTACGGCAAATATCATTCTAATTTAACTTAAAATATAATTTTTTTTTCACTTTGTATTAGGATTTTGCTGAAAATTCTTCATGATTATTACTAAAAACTGATCCAATTCTGATCTGATATTTATATTGATTTTTATTTATCAGAGTTGTCTTTCATATTTTTTGAAAAATATCTGTACCTAAATATTATTGTAGAGGTATCTGTATCTGTTTTTTGATACTTTTTCAGATACATTTTGTACTTTTTTTTAATGTTTATTAAAAAATAAAAATATTTTGAATGCAAAATTCATTTTATCTCATATGAGCATATAACTTAAATAAATATATATCAAAAATTCTATAGACTAATATAATAAAAACATATAAGATATAAAAATTTATATATAAATATTCATTATCATTTTTTTTCCCCATTTAAACCTATAGAAATAGATATGAGTTCAAGATAGTGAAGGATATTTTTATCATGTAAAGGAATGTATAAATCCTTGCTTCCCATTGATTATTAAAAAAATACCATTGATGCTCAAAATTATTTTAAGCAAATAAATTTTTTTTAAAATAATTTTATAGATAATTCTCTCACTTTTAATGAATAAATAATATGTTAAAATTTATAATGCTCATTTTAAGTGAGAATTTGCTCAAAAGATTGATAAAAATATGGAATTTGACATTTTTTTAAAAAATGGTGTTTGAATTGAATGAGAACAAATTATAAAAATGTTTGATTATTTGTGCTCAATAAGAGTTTCTGTTCGAGAACAATGACGAATCTTGTTCATAAGTATGATAAAAATTGTGTTTATATCTATATACGTTTTAGACGATGTTTCTATATAAAGATCCATTTAAAAGGTATTTAACAACTCTGTTCAACTATTCTTGGATCAATATCAAAAAGAATATCGATATTTTTAATTTTTATAATAAAAAAAACCAACTAACTTTCATGAATGACTAAGTAATTTTTTCATTCTCCAAAAAGTCAATAATCTTATTTAAAATATTTGTAATATTTATGAAGTGAATATATTATTGTATCCAATTTTTAAAAAAGGATAAAAATATTATTACCTAAACCTCGAAATTTCGCCAAAAAAGTAAAAAAAATCTTTCTCCAATCTGTGGACAAAGGAATGACATATAATAATAACTCTGTTCATAATAATGCACTTGAAAGCGTCGTTGAATGCAAATCTGCTGGATTCGCCATTTTGGTAGCACATAGTAATTATTCTCGTGTTGAAAACTACTATTAAATTGATAACTCGCTTCCATATTATTCGATGATCAGGCAATTCTTTTAATAAAGTTTGCGTCAGACATGCAAATAATTTGGCCCTCTCGTTCATATCCCGATTATGGGGTAATAAAAATGGCGTCCCCAGCTGTTTTTTCTTGATGTACACTGTTAATGAATGTATCGTCAGTCTAGGTATTATTATACGTCATTGGGCTAAGTATAAATCGTATTTTGTATACTTTCGCCACCCAATTCACGTCAGCTTATGAAAGCAGGGCTACACATAAAAATAATGAGGCGGTCTCTCAGCTGTTCTAACTTCATTGTTACTTTAGCTCTCTTTTATTAATTTGATTTTAAATGTATTTTATAAACTTTAATAAAATAAAGGTTGTTTTCACCCCGCCAACTCGATCGCCCATTTTTTTCAACCTACCACCCCTCACTTGCCCGAGGAATGCGCGAACGGGTGGGTTAACTGGCCACATTGTTGTTGGTTCGAATCCTTCTCGGTACAAATTAAAAAAATGGTGTTTATTGCATTTTTAATAATGATTGAGCTCACTGTTCAAAAAATCACATCAATTACAGCTGGGTAGGATTTGTGAATATTCTATCTCCTATTTTATTTTATTTACTTTTGTTTTGTTTTTTCTTTTGTATGCAGGAAGTCGCTATTCTTATTTATCTAACCCCATAATCTTTTCCCCCCTTTTTTTATATTTAATTTTAATAAATTATTTGTTTTTTTATCCTATAATTCACACTCTTTCATCTCAAAAATATTTTTTTTAAGGAGAATATTATTTAAAGTGTTATTCCCTCTTAAAAAAAAGAAAATTTAAATTAAAAAAGAATTATTATTATGAATAAGAATTTAGAATTATTACTTCTTTTTGGAATCCTTGCATTAGCGAATATCGGGATAGATGTCACGAAAGATTAAAAAAAATCAAATACTTTTGTTTTTTATTTAGCATCAATTTTATCCGGTCCGTTAAAATACTTGAATTATTCGACCCAGCGAAACCGGGTTTTTAATATCTTGATATATATATATTGTCGAATCGGATATACCAGAAATATAAAATCGTATAGGTTTCTCGGTTGTGTTCTAATTCTTAATTTTATTTTTTTAAACTATTTTCAATAGTCATTTTGAAAATTTATAGGAATGATTTTTTTAAAATTGAAATAAATTATATAAACAAGTAATAACATGAGATCCGTATTTTGATTCAGTTTACATGTATAGAAAGAAAGAAAGAAAGAAGGAAAGAAAGAAAGAAGGAAAGAAAAAAAGAAAGATTTTTAAATTTTGGACAATTTATAAAAAAAGAAGATTATTTGAGACATTCAACATAATATTCTATCTGCACTTATGAGGGTGTTTTTTTTAAAAAAATTAAATTTAATAAGGTTCATCTAAGGTAATATTTTACTTCACACATTTAAAGAAAACTTATAATAAAAGATTTATTTAGACAAATGTTGAGGTATCTAAATTATATTTAAAGGGGATGGGGTAAAATGGTTAAGCACCAGGGTAAAGTGGTTAGAACAAAATTGAACATAACTTTATTCTTTTATTTGACATCTAAGTATTACATGTGAACTAATATCAATACAATAATGGAATTTAAATTATTTTTAAAAATATTGGCACATTTAAAATTTGCCCTTTTTTTTATATAAGCACATCGTACATTTCAATTTTTATATCCCCTTTTGTTTTCTATTCCAAATAACACACAAACAATTTTTTTAACAATGTTACTTTTTGCTCAAAAATATTTTTATCTTCAATCAAAACACATTATAACAGCTTTTACTTTAAGGTTGATATAAATATATTCTGCAAATCGTTATCGCGTGACTTCTAGTTAATCTACATACTTTCCGATAGATTTATGTTTTATAGCCTAGCTTTAAAGGAACATGATACTTTAAAACATGAGTATATTAAATAACATTTGCTAAAGAGTAAAACAAACTAGAGAGCGATTTTATAATTTTTTGGAGCTAAAAAAAAACTGGTTTTTGGCCAAATACGTCAAACCACGAAGACGTAAGATAAACATGGATAACAAATTAGATATATAAACATCTTGACACCCTTCATTTTCTTAAGCGTCGTTAACGTTGACCACCCATACCGTTTTACCCCTGTTAATTTTAGAAAATAGAAGAAATTTTAAAAATTCAAAAATACATTCAATTAATTCAATTTAAAGAATAAAATAATCAAATACGATTACCAAATCCCAAAATTAATTTCTTATATTTAATTTTAATAATATAATAATATTATTATTATTCTATAAATATTCTAATGATATTTTTAACATACTTTTGAATGTTAATAGTAGAGGAGAATCAGAGCTATAATGTAGGTGGAGTAAAAAGTCGATGTCTATATCTTTTTCATGCTGATTTATTTCTATAAATACTGTCTACCGTACCCTTAATTTAGAAAGAGGAGCTCCACATTCAAAAGATATTACCGAAAAACTATTTTTTAGCCTCTTTCACCAGCCTTTATATTTAGTAATATTTGTTTTGAAGCAAATTGTTGGATAAATTTTTCAATGTATAAGCTACCAAATAAACTCAGTCCGAGGTTTCTAGCTGATCTAAAAAAAAATTGCTAGATCTTAGACTTACTACCCCTTAGGGCTAAACTGCGAAGGTTAAAATGGGAATTTTGTGAAGCAGGAATTATCTAGAATAAAGCTTCAATATTTTTAAGTATTACTCTGACCTGTAGAATTTACTAACTAAACTTTAATTAATATGACCATTCTAGAGATGAAAAAACCATTTAAGTTTAGATTATATTATTCCTAATGATACCCAAAACGCGAATTTATGTCTGGGAACAGCTGTTGAATTTCAACTCAATATAATATCTAATCATGATGGTAGCCACTTTTACCATGGGGGTGGGGTGGAGGTTATGGTAAAATATTATAATTAAATATTATATGATGTTTAGTAAATTTTCATTGTTAATGTTTCATTTAATTTGTTAAAAATATTTAGATGGTATAGGTTTAAAATAAATAAATAAATAATTTTTTAAGAGAGGGATATAATTTTAAGATAGTGATATGGTGGTGGTCCAGTAACAAAAGCGGCAAGATTTGATACGATTCGCTAAATATTCTGAAGGAATAGAGATTTGTGCCATGTTATCTATTTTAATATGTATGTATAAATATATTGTTGAAAGATTAATTTTTATTTTTATACAAAATAAATTTATAATTTGTTTTAATTATAACAATAAAAAGAATATTATTTCTGTGTTTCGTGGAAATTAAATTTTTATATTTGCCAACTCACCCCATGATTTTGTTAAAATACATTCTAAAT